TTTTTTTGGTGTGTTGGTGTGTGTTGTGGTGTTGGGTTTTTTTTTTTTTTTTTTGCTATAGGGTGCTTGCGCTCACCAGAAAGAGAGACAAAAAGTGAGAAATCACCCCCGGGGGGGATGGCCACGCCGCAATCCCTTCTCCATTCTCCTCTCGGGATCTTGGGCATACACGCACACGTGCCCAGCGTGAGTTTAAGCCACCAGGTCCGGGACTCAAACCGTGGTCGACTACATGTTCAGCGACATAGCCATTACGCTGACTGCTGCCTGTTTTCTTACCCAGCCTCATATATGCCCCCTATCATTTTATTTCTGCCGTCAGTGGTGTAGGTAGATTTCTGTTTCTTCACTAATGAAGGTCAGGAGCATTGCTGACTCCTTTCCCCCAGTTCTTACTGTGTGTCCTGCACACAGCCAGGTGAGAGCAGTGTGGCCAGCCAGCAGTCCCCGGGCGCCTGTGTGCCTGCTGCTATTCTCAGCTGTGTCCGATCTCCGTCATCGGGTGGCTGCTGCTTTAAGAGCAGGGTGTGGGATTTATGTCTCGTGTGTCCTCAACTCCCCTCGTGTTCATTGTTCAGTTGTTGACTGGCTGATAGTCCAGAAGGCACCCTGGGTGACTCATCCCCGACTTCCAGGTCTATGGGGTTGAGGTTGGCAGGCTACTACCTCAAATGCAGTGGGGTGCCCTACGTGGTGGACTTGGTGGTTCAGAGGCCACTGCTGAGCCTCTGTCCCCAACTGCGCAGGTGGAGATTGGGAAGGCAGTCAAGGCGTATGTCCGTGTGCTGGACTTTTACAAGAAGCCCTTCCTGGCCAAGTACTTCACCTTCATGGATCTGAAACTCCGAGCAGCCTCCCAGATCGTCACGTTGGTGTGAGTCCTCCCAGGGGGGCCGAGGAGGGTGTCGTGGGTCAGCGCTCACCCCAGCCACAGCCTCTGATGGGTCCGTCTCGGGGAGGAGAAGTCTCAGTCCGTCCCTGTGTTTCAGGGCCCTTGACGAAGCACTGGACAGCTACACCGCTACCTTCCTCGTCCATGGCGTGGCCATTGGCCAGACCAGCCTGACGGCAAGTGTGACTGATAAAGCTGGACAGAGGATCAACTCGGCCCCTCAGCAGATTGAAGTAAAAGCGTTCCTTTCCACACTATGCTGGGTCGGCCGGGTGGTGGGGAGGGTGGCGTGTCGATTGTGACAAGCTGGGAGTTTCAGCAACAGCCAAGAAGCTCTGTGCCCCCAGATGTCCTTTGATCAGAAGGCAACTGGTACCAGCAACTGGGGGGGGGGGGTGGGGCCCGGGCTGCCACGGACCGGC